TAACTCAGCTTAGAGGGAACACTGGTTGGGGCCTGGGCCAAAAAGGCCCTGGTTGAGGATAGCCGGATATCTCTCGGGCTGGGGACCACCGGCAGGTTGTTCTGTGAAGAGCATAATGCTCTCCTGGGGGTGTACCGGAGCAGTTAGTGCTTTGGGCTAGGACCTGGGAAGGCCAGGGAGGGCCAGGGTCAAATCCCCACTGTGTTGTAAAGCCCGCAGGGTGACCTTGGCCGGACAACCCTAATGTAGCCAATCCTCCAAGAGCTTACAGTAGCTCCTGTAAGAAGAGCTCTGTAAGCTCTTGGAGGATTGGCTACATTAGGGGTGTGTGGCCTAATATGCAAAGGAGTTCCTGCTACAAAAGGAGCCCACCTCACAGGGTAGTTGTGAGGGTAAACATGGAAGCAGAGAGACGGCTGTGTGCTGCCCTGATCTCTTTAGAGAGCAAGAATGAGATAAAAATGACTAAATTATTAGGTCCCTATTTGAACTTTCATATTGCAGACGGGGCCTGGCGGGACTTCGGGGTTAGTGGGCAGTTTAGGAAGTTGATGGCAGTCAGAATTTTAACTGGACATTTCCTGGTTTCACGGCTGAGATGCATAGTCCCTTTACACAATATACTCTGTCTGTGCAGGAAGCCACCGAGTAAAACAAGACTGAAGCAGACTGATGCATGTTTCATAACTGGGTGCAGAACCGTAGCCTTGCTGCCCAGATTCGGTGGGAAAAAAGGTCTTGGAAGCTGCTCCCATGTATATATATATTTTTTTAAAAGGAAGATTTATTGTGTCCGTAGATAACCAACGACTTCCTGAGAGCTGACCTGCCCTGGGCTGTAGTGTGGCTGGGGCATAGTTCGGTGTACACTTGGGATCTTTCCAGATTAGGACATGTAACTTGCCCTAGAGGTTTACAGCTGGTCAGTGGCAAAATCAAAAATAGTCGCCACACCCCCTGCCATCTCTTTCACATTTCTTGAGACCAGTGGCTGTGCCCTCTGTGCCGTGTCAGAAGTCCAAAGGTGCCTGCAGGCTGAGAACGGTGTTGACGACCCTTGCACTAGACGGTAGTTAAGCGTCAGGAACTGGTTTTGCCGTGACGTCTGAACTGAGGGTGTGCATGCTTCTCATATGCTACAAGACTCACTGGAAAAGGCAGTAATGCCAGGACAAGTGGAAGGCAGCGGGAAAAGAGGAAGACCCAACAGGAGACGGATGGACTCAGTCAAGGAAGCCACAAAGGCCCTCGGTTTGCAAGACCTGAACGAGGCTGTTAACAATAGAATGTTTCAGTCAAGGCAAAGGTTTACCCCTTGCTCGAAAGCCAGTCGAATCCGACTCTAGGGGGCGGCGCTCATCTCCCTTTCCAAGCCAAAGAGCCAGCGCTGTCCAAAGATGTCTCCGTGGTCATGTGGCCGGCACGACTAAACGCCGAGGCGCACAGAATGCTGTTACCTTCCCACCTAAGCGGCACCTATTTATCGACTTGCAATTTCTTGCTTTCGAAATGCTAGATTGGCAGGAGCTGGAACTAGAGACGGGACCTCACTCCGTCATGCGGCAACTCGGGTCTCGAACTACTGAACTACTGACCTTCCACAGCCTGCAGTTCAGCGTCTTAACCACTTGAGCCACCGCAGCTCTGCTGTACTGGACCTGGTAGTATATGAGACACTGCAGATAGGTTTCTTCCTGTGCCCCCGGAGAGCCATATGAAGTGTGCTGGGCTGTGCAGGAGGAACCCAAACTGTGGTTTCACATAACAACTTTGCCTGTTTGGAAATGGGGTGTTACATTGATGTGGAAAGGAGATGCAGCTTGGGCTTTGGTCTGAAGCTTCTCAGAGCTTACAGTAGCTCCTGTAAGAAGAGGCACACACTTTGGACCAGAAAGATAAAACTCCTCAACAGCACAGGAAGTAATAAAGCAAGCCTGCCAGAATGCATTTGCATTCAGTTTTGTAATGACTAGGGGGGGGGGGGGCAGAGACAGATTCTGATAATATCCAGCTGACTGGTTGCATTAACTAAATGCCCTTGCCAAAAAACCAAACAGCAGTTGTGCTTCTCACAGCTGTATGCTGTCAAATTGGAGAAGCCTCTTATAAAGCAGTGGTGTAGCCGTTATAGCTTTTGTGCTGTACTGGTAAAGGTAAAGGTTCCCTTGCTCAAAAGCCAGTCGAGTCTAACTCTAGGGTTGCGATGCTCATCTCCATTTCAAAGCCGAAGAGCCAGCGCTGTCCGAAGACGTTTCTGTGGTCATGTGGCCGGCATGACTAAACACCAAGGCGCACGGAACGCCACCGAAGTGGTACCTATTTATCTACTTGCAATTTCTTGCTTTCGAAATGCTAGATTGGCAGGAGCTGGAACTAGAGACGGGACCTCACTCCGTCATGCGGCAACTCGGGTCTCGAACTACTGAACTACTGACCTTCCACAGCCTGCAGTTCAGCGTCTTAACCACTTGAGCCACCGCAGCTCTGCTGTACTGGACCTGGTAGTATATGAGACACTGCAGATAGGTTTCTTCCTGTGCCCCCGGAGAGCCATATGAAGTGTGCTGGGCTGTGCAGGAGGAACCCAAACTGTGGTTTCACATAACAACTTTGCCTGTTTGGAAATGGGGTGTTACATTGATGTGGAAAGGAGATGCAGCTTGGGCTTTGGTCTGAAGCTTCTCCCATTGCCTTGGTGGCATGAGAAGGAGAGTGGGTTCCCTCTTTTAGACAGGATATGAGGAGGGGTCCAAACTCTCTCTGGTGTAAAGCCCAAGGTGGGTGGAGACAAAACAGAACAGAAGTTCAGTGACACCTTAAAGACTAACAATATTTAGTCCAGCGTGAGCTTTTGTGGCCCAGAACTCACTTCTTCAGATGCCATGGGAAGAAAGAGAATCATTTGCCTCACATTTGTCCAGACAGTTGCTGCAGGAGAGGAGGAAAAGGGAAGCAGTTGAGCAAAGAGAGGCCCGGTGTCATGTGTGATTCTCTGTCAAGGACTGGAATGGCTGGGTTGTTATTATAACGGAAGATGAGAGAGGTCAGAGGTTCTAGCCTCTCTCTCCCAAGATGTTTACACAAAAGCACAATAAATACTGCACAAAAGTGCAGTAAAGTAGACTAAGGAAGAAGCAGTCTGAAGCATGAGATAATTAGCTGACATTTTTTTGCTTTTGCTGTCAAGTCACCCTGTAGGGGTTTCAAGGCAAGAGGCATTTAGAGGTGGTTTGCCATTGCCTGCCTCTGCATAGTGACCCTGGTATAAATACTGATCAGGACTGACCGTGCTTAGTAAAGGGTTATGATACGATACAACATGTTGCAAATGGCTTGTTAAAATTTCTAAACATTTCTAAAAGGTTGGATTATTCAGAATTATGAGTGAGGAAACCCAAGTCTCGGTTTAAACCAGGAGGACAGAACATGTTGAATGTCTTGATGAGTTCTAATTGAGCAGTTTCATGTTTAGCGTTCTCTTTGCAGCTTTTTTCTAAAATGGTGACCTTCAGATCTGCAGTCAGGAAGTTGAAAATGTTCACCTACTGAGTATCATGATTTCTTATATCAGATTTGTTTTCATTGATTCTGTCACATAGTGACCGACACACAGTATTAGAATACAAGGATTTCTGAGTAGCAGTGGGTGCATGGTCATTGTCTTGATTTGTAATTGGCACAGCACTGACAAGCTCGGTTTGGAGAACAGTGTCTTTTTCAAGGAGAAAAATAAAACAAACATCCAGAGGCACTATAAATATCAACAAAAGTTATCCCAGCAGAAGCTTTTGTGAGTCAGAGTTCACTTCATCAGATGCATAGGAGCGCATATCCATTAGGCTGAGACTTTTATGTACCTTCCAGTTCATCTGAGGAAGTGAGCTGAGAGTCGTGAAACTTTTGCTGGAATAAGTATAGTTAGTTTTTATGATGCCAGGGTACTCTGTTTTATTTTGGTCCTGCAGGCTCAGATGGCTAGCAGTTTGGAATTTTTTTGGAGAGTTCCCACCATAATACTTTTTTTAAAAAAAGATTATTAAGAAAAAAGATGGAGAAATGCAACAAAAATACAATACAAAAAGAATACTCATAACAAAGTTTCAGAAAAACTCAAAAGGCAAAAGACCATTGTTAACCATAGTGATCCATGATGTTGCAAACAAAGCCTATCCATAAACTTACCACTCGTAAATCTTCTTCATCTATACTTTGTTTTGTCACTTTTGGGACATGAGATCTATTTTCCATATTCTCATAATTCATCATTAATATTAGGGGCTACATAGGAAATGTGACAAATTGTCATGCAGCAGTTAACAAGCTCATTATAAGCTCTGTATGTAACATACTAAGCCAGTCATAGAATCAAATGGTAAGTCACAGCCCTTCAAATGGTAAATCATAACCCATAATATTGTCACGTGCACGGATGGTGTTGGACATATCCATTTTAGTGTATCTCCCCCATAACGTGGAAATCCAGCCTCTTTCCTACTCAAGGTAAAGGTAAAGGTCCCCTTGCTCGAAAGCCAGTCGAATCCGACTCTAGGGTTGCGGTGCTCATCTCCGTTTCAAAGCCAAAGAGCCAGCGCTGTCCGAAGACGTTTCTGTGGTCATGTGGCCGGCATGACTAAACACCAAGGCGCACGGAACGCTGTTACCTTCCCACCGAAGTGGTCCCTATTTATCTACTTGCAATTTCTTGCTTTCGAACTGCTAGGTTGGCAGGAGCTGGAACTAGAGACAGGAGCTCACCCTGTCTTGCGGCACCCGGGTCTTGAACCGCTGAACTACTGACCTTCCACAGCCTGCAGTTCAGCGTCTTAACCACTTGAGCCACCGCAGCTCCATTTCCTACTCAAACCATCTTGCAAAACACGAGGTTATTGTTGTGGGGAGAGGAATGGAAGGCAATTGTAAGCCACCTTGAAACTCCTTAGGGCAGAGAAAAGTGGGGTATAAAGACCACCTCTTTGGGAACTCCAGATTGGATTGAGCGAATGGATGGACAGACAGCGTTTGGAAGAAGTATCTCCTTTATTTGAATCAGACATTCTGGTTGCAGTTGATTGCAGTTGTCAAGTCTTTTCATGAAGAGAGTATGGGGTGAATATTGGAGCTGCTGCACATGCAAATGAATGTTGATGGCGCATGCGCAGAATCTCATTTTACATTATGAGCTGGAGAAGAATTTCTGGAGGGAATGAGGCTTGATTTGTAATACAACTGAGCATTAGATGGGACAACTATGAACTGTGGTGACATCTCTGTTCGTGAATAGCTTCAGCTTTACTCTAGTATCTTTTCTTACAGTGCCCTGAAAGCGACGGATTCAGATTGTGTTGTTTTGTTTTAATGGGACTGTCTGTACACAACTTCACAAAACTCCCCTCTCATCTAGTTTTCTCTAAAGTCAATTGCAAACTGGTTAAATGATGCTTGCTGTACAGATTTGTCTAGTGTGGTGGTAGAAAACCATTCCCAGTGCAACACTCACTGAACTTGTAGGTAATTTGAGTTCTCATGGAGCATTTGGGTGGATGATCGTCCCCAACAATTGCTCCTAAAAACATCAGCCTTTTAAAATATTTATTATGTCTGTAGCCTAATGGAAAAGCTCATTACTGTGTGAATATTTATATCCTAGGTAAAAGCCTAAATTGCCTTGGTCATGCCGAGTGTGGTGAACGGATGGCTGGGCTGGGTTGGAGAGACACAGCTTTATAACAAAGAACTTCCATAACCCCCGTACCAGACTGGCTCTCAGCTGTGTAATATATCTACAAACCAGAAATCCCCACTGAAAAGTTTCCTCCAAGCCATACCAAACTGTGAATTTGCAGAGAAAGGTGCCTTGAGGAAGAACCTGGGGGCTGTGGCCGAAACAGGGTTTTTACTTTGATGCACCTGATTTGGTCCTGCCAGGACAAAGGATCACAGTCTACTTTGCATTCTTTTTTTAAAAAAAGAAACAAAAACAACTTTGTCTCAATAGCAGAGGGCATATGAAAATGTGCACATATTGTATTGAGATTTCATATGTTGCTGAGCCTCAAAATATCCCCTGCCTTAACATTTTGCCTGCAAGTATTAAAAATTCACCACTGCTTGTTTATCAGCTGAAGTTTTAGTTGAAGGGTCTGCATTTTCAAACAAAAATCACAACAAAAAGAAGAGTAGGGTTATTTTTGGGTGGGTATTTTGTGTTTGTGTGTGCGTGCGTGTGCATATGTGCTTGTATGCCTGGAAGTCATGGGGACTTCTGGTGACTCCTAGCCAGGCTTAGATGTTTCAGAGAGGTGGCTTGCTATTGCTTGCCTCTGTGTCCTGAGCCCTGGTATTCCTTGGTATCGGGTTTCAGAGAGGTGGTATCATCTTCATGAGACATCAGTCACATGATGGTAAAGGGGGAGCCGGAGTTATGACCTTGACTGATATCAAGGCCAGAGCCCTGGGAAGCAGAGCTGAGGAGAGGAAACACAGGCCAAATGCCAGGAAGTTGGCCATTCTGAGGAAGAAGCCAAGGGTCCAGTCCATGTTGAAATCCTCTCCATTGCTGAGTGGCCTCGCCATTCTCCTGTCCCCCTCAGCATATGTCACAAAAGAGGCAGGAACTGTGGCATTGCTCTCCACGCATGCATGCATGTTAGCATAGCTGTCCCTTTTGAAAAGAAACACTGAAAATGGCGGCTGTGTTGTGAAACTCTCGACCTTCGTGCCCACCATATCATATGGATGCTGTAATAATATTGGCCTGCTTTACAATACTGTAGTAATGAGATGAAGGGCCCAAGACTTGAGGGGCCAAGCATATGCTTTGCATGCCAGATGCTGAGTTCAGTGCCCTGGCTCCCTGTTAAAACACAGATTTCTGGTGCTAAGTCTGGGAAAAAATTTTGGAGTGCCCACTGGAAACTTAGGGTAGGTCATTCAATGGCCGGATTAGGCAGAAGGTGGCTTCATGCTTTTGATGAAGTCTCTGCAATGCTTTGAACTGTTGAGATGCACCATGTGAATGGTAATGATTAATTTTATTATTTGACCCTAGGCTATAACGGAACAGATTTTAAGTGCTTTCACTGTATTCTAACAGAACTAATTACTGCTCCTAGCAAAACGGAGAAGATTAAAATCTTCAGAAACCCTTGAAAAGATTGGTCATGTGCTTTTTCCATGAGGATTATTTTAAGACCTCTGAACCAAATTGCATAAATTGACTTTGTGATGCCATCTTTGGAAACGATAGGAGCACTGCTGAAAGGACTTTACAGCGAGGGTGGCTTTATAGTGCAAAACCTGTGGATTACTTCTGGTTGCACAAATCTTTAAATCTCTAGTAGCAACTGTTTTATAGGCCTCCCACCCACAAAGTCTGTCCCTGCGAGGCTTAGCAGCTTTTGTCTGTCCGTATAGTCTGTTGCTGAGGCACGAGCTTGTCTTTTGTTGTTTATAACTGTTTTTATGAAGCAAGCAAAAGGGGGGGGGAGGGGACGCATTTTTGCTGCTCTCCACAATGAGCAGTCCCATCCATTTGAACTCAATTGCTGCATCATAGAAGATCAAATTTTTCCCCTTTTCCTGTGTCGCTTCCTTTGGTGTAAGGGTTCTAGATGTGGTTTGTGTGGAGAGACACAATGCAGTCCTAATCCGAGTTACTCCCTTCTGAGCCCATTGACTTCAGTGAATTTAGAATGAAGTCATTTTGCTTAGGATTGCATTGACTGTGTCTTTTCCAGGCAATCTGGTACACTTTGGAAATGTGTACAGAAGGATGGTACAGGATTGTAAGGATTTTCAGGTTTCATTTGGAACCATCTCCCTGCAAATTATGCACAGGAGTGCTCTGTTAGTCACACAACACAACCAATAATTGCAGTAATTTAGTTTGCTGAGCAAGCTTTTTGCTGGTGGGAAAACATTCTTTCCTTCCCATTCTGTGTGATTGCCTGTGCATCTGAGGACCAAGTATCTTTGCCTTTGCACAGTGTTCAAGGCCAGTGCGCCCTTAAAAAAATCCCACTCCTGTTGTTTTGAGACAAGAATCGTCAGTGGAATGTATCATTGAACTGTGTGGTTTTTATCTCTTTTGTTTGCAGGGAGAAGCATTTGTTTGGGTTAATGGTGCATCGGCTCATTCCCAGAGTGTTGCTAAGGCCAAGTACGAATTTTTATTTGGTGGATCAGAAAATGACACAACTCCAGAATCTGGTAAGAACTGGTTCTCCCCCCCCCCCCAAGTGAATTCTTCTAACTGTGGCTAAGTTTGCACCCTGGCAATCTGTGTGCACCAGCTCTCACATAGCACTTTTTACAATTAACACAACCTGTTTTACATGTGGCAGGATGTGTGTTGAACATGGTGGAGGTGAGAAGAGAGGGTTTGCTGGGAATGTGCAGATTGTTCCACCTGTGGCCAACTAGTGCACTCCCTGAAAACGTCCGTAGACACATTTCATGGTAGTGCGGTGAGCCACAGTCTGGGTATGAAAGACTCTAGACATATAACGGGTTTTGGTCTATTAAGCCACATCCTGCTTTGGAACAGAAGTCATTGCATTATGTATCTGTGCAAGGTTAAGATATCTGCAGCTCTGACATGAATTAATGGTGTATGAGTGGAGAGAACTCTGCATTACGGTCTTCCACAGATATCTATCCCTGCAAAGTAAAATATGAAAAGGAGATGATCGAGGGCAAATTCTTTAATCAACGAGGCTTAGAACACACAAGGTTGAGGGAGAGGGTCTCTCTGAACCCCTTTCCTTAACTTTATCTCTTTGCTGTGTTTACCAGAATGAACATATAGACCGAACTGTGATTAGAGCCCTAGCAAAATAGCTTCCACTGGTAACAGTGCCACGGTGGAGTTCTTTTTCTGAAACCCCTCCTGTTTCAATTGACTGAAAGAAAGAGTGGAACCACAAGGAGGCAAAAAGATTGGTCCTGGGCCATTGTCCAAGTAGGTCAGGAAGGGAGTAAGTGGGGTTTTGGTAACTGGGGTGTTTTCTAGCTGCAGAAGCGAAAGGTGGAACTTTTAACCTCTTAAGATCAACTGGGTTTGAACTGTATGTTTCTGTGGTTAGGAGTACCTTGAAGAATATTGGAAAACATGCATGACACTGTCTTTCTGTATTCAAGATTGCTGATTTGGAGCCCATAACTAGAAAGCACTGGTGATCACCAGTCTTCCTTTTCCCTACCCCAGCAGCCATTTTCAGTCCTGGGGAAGTTTGTTCTTGGGGTTGTGGTACCTATGTGGAGGAACAGTGGAATGGATGGAGAGGAGGAAGGGGTAAAATCGCCCTGTTCCCCTTTTTTTCTATCAATGCATGGCTTTAACAAGGGGGGGGGGGATAGGCAGATTCTGCCCCTTCTCCACTGCAGCCTCCTGATCTGCTATTGGACCATGTGGGTCCTGTGATCCAAGGATTTAACTTTCCCGGGATCAGGAAGGATTGCTGGAGGGAAAAGAACGTGAGAAAGGTGTGTGACAACTAGCCCCTTGCACTGATGGATAATGGGATCTAGCCCACTCTCTATCAAGATACCATGTACAGCAGACACAGTTGTTGCAGTTATGTCGGAGTTTGTTCACAGCAAATGCAAAACTTGTGTGTGCATGTATCGGGGAGTCCTGGCCCAGTTCCCAAGTACGTCTGTGTGGTTTTGAAAATGCTGCTGTGTTATCTGCACGTCATGCTTATGGTCATGAATGCCATATGTCATAAATAACCCATGGAAAAGGTGTCTTCCGTGTGAAGTGTAGTATCATTCTGAGCTTCTCTTTCCAAGCACTTTGTGGAACTAAATGGGGGGGGGGGTATTAAGAGTCTTGGAGAAATCAACTTGCTGTAATTCAGTGTTCTGTCTGCCTTTCCTGATATCCAGGGATCAAACCATTTATATATTTGCTTCCTTTTATAACCCTCCTTTCTCTCCATTTGGGAGTTAAACCAACTTATGTTATTTTTTGCTTCTTCATCACAGCAACTGGTGAGGTGGGGTAGGCTGAGATCGTGTGACTGGCCCAAGGTCACTCAGCCAGCTTCCCTGGCAGGGTGGGGATTCCCATCTGGACTCTCCCAGACCCCAGTCTGACACTCTTAACTGCTACTCTAACTGTGCTTGGGTCTGAAGTTTCCAGAGACTTCAAAAACGCAGTACTCACATTTTTTTTTGGGGGGGGGCACCAGTTCAGAACAGGACAGAGGGATGGGTAGGGTCAAATGCCCCCTGTGGCATTTTCCGAAAAAGAAATGGCCTCGGGGAGCCCCTATTTTAGCACTGGGGTAAACAAAGATTTATAGATGCCTTTATCCCAGTGAGGCAAATAGTGGCTTTATGTTGCCATTTCAGGTCTGGAGAGAGCGGCATGCTTAATACCACTGTGGGTAATACCATTATGAATGGCCTTATACCTGCCCCTCTGTTAAAATTTGAACCAGATCCCTGTATGGCTGAGGAGTGAATTTTAAAAAAATCGCTGGGAACTCTGGAACTGGCAATGCAAGTCCAGTTTGTCCCTAGTTGAATACCTGAGAGATGTTGTCACAGTGCTGTGCGTTACCCCCCCCCCCACCGTCCCTCATGGTCAGATATCAGTGGAAGGGCAGAAGTAATGGATTGCATGTGTGGACATCATGGGCTGCATGCGGTCAGACCATACAAGGAAGTGGTGGGGAAGGACATGGGTTGTTAGAAGCCCAGTCTCCCTTGTATTTAATTAGACCGTAAAACTGAGCCAGCAATAGAAATGGCAGTATGGCCTTATACCTGCCCCTCTGTTAAAATCTGAACCAGATCCCTGCATGGCTGAGGAGTGAATTTTAAAAAATCGCTGGGAACTCTGGAACTGGAACTGGCAATGCAAGTCCAATTTGTCCCTAGTTGAATACCTGAGATATGTTGTCACAGTGCTGTGCGTTACCCCCCCCCCACCGTCCCTCATGGTCAGATATCAGTGGAAGGGCAGAAGTAATGGATTGCATGTGTGGACATCATGGGCTGCATGCGGTCAGACCATACAAGGAAGTGGTGGGGAAGGACATGGATTGTTAGAAGCCCAGTCTCCCTTGTATTTAATTAGACCGTAAAACTGAGCCAGCAATAGAAATGGCAGTGTGGGAGGAATGTGGATTACTAGGGTATGCTTGCTTTTTTTTTGTTTTCTGATCAAAAAGGTTTTGTAAGTTTTAGAAGCATTCAACTTTTTAAAATATGGAAATTGAAACCTCCATCCAATCTGATGAACAAATGAGCAAAATAGGCTGTGGGACAATTAAAAAACCCCACACACTAACATACAAAGTTTAAAATGAAACCAACTGGTTGAACCAGATGCACAAAAATAGCTCCCATTGCTGAACACACATCAACAAAGGAGATCAGACATGTTCTGCCGCTGCGAAGACTTCATTAGAGAGATTAAAGTGAAAATGAGTAGTCTCAAAATTAAAACTTCCACTTGATCTACTCTAACGTTTGTAAACAAGCTACAGATGTCTTTAAAAATGCTTCAGCATGTATTAACATCCACAGGGCAATTCAGAGATTAGAATGAGTCATCTATGGTCAGCAAAGTGTGAATGCTTCCTCCACCCTAAAGGAGCCTTTCTCCTACTTAAGTAGCTCTTCCGCTGGTGGAAGAGTTATTTAAATTGGAGGAAGGCTTGCCAGAATAGTAGGATACAGGCCAGAAACCGCAGATGATCCATTCAGAACATACCCGGCTTGAGTTTCGTCAGAAATTGTTTAAATGTTTGCCTCACAATACAAGTGACACAATCTATGAACTGTACAGGCAAAATGCTGACTCTAATCAGTGTATTGAATATTTTAAAACATTTTCATTAACCATTGTACACAAAATGATTTTAGATGTTGTTCTCGCTTTGAGGGTTGTCAAAGCCCGCTTGGGCTTTGTCACAGGCTATGCCTGTGCATTTGTTGGCGGTGTGATTGTCTCGTCTCCGTTGTTTCCCTATAAAAGTTCAGGATTTCTGCTTTACCCTTGTACTAGTGACAGCAATCCTGAACAGGCAGCATCCTTTTGGGATGGCTGTGTCCATGTCATCTACTTCAGTAAAGGCTTTCTTGGGAAAATAGGGGCTCTTGAGTGGACTTCCCCTTATTCTGAGATTCTGTTCTGTGGTACTTTTGTTTTGGGTAACATTTGGTGGTGGTGAAAAGTGCCATCAAGTTGCAGCTGAGTTACGGTGGCCCCCCCTTAGGGTTTCCAAGGCATGAGGCACTATTGCCTGCCCCTGTGTAGTGGCCCTGGACTTTCTTGGTGGTCTCCCATCCAAAGACTAACCGGAGTTCACCCTGCTTAGTTTCTGAGCTCTGATGAGTTCAGGCTAGCCTGGGCCATCCAGGCCAGGGCAGTAACACTTAGGTACCTAATTTTATTAAATTTGACTAATTTGGTTGGTGTACTATACATGCAATTTTTTGTTTTTGTATCTAGATTGCAGTCATTTTGTTAAGATTGTTTTTGATGCATCGGTTTCAAGCCACTTGTGTTTATTTTGTACCTTGTGCATTTTTATTTACGTTAGATAGTCGTCTTTTCTCCCTACTGGAGACCCCAAGCAGTTTAAAACATCATTCTCTCCTTTTCCTTTTTATTCTTAAAATGACGACTCTGTGAGGAATGTTAGGTTAAGAGAGTGTGACTGGTCCAAGATCACCACTGTTTGAAGGGTCAAGCTAACTTGCAGATAAATATTATCAAAAATATCTTTTTATTTATGGTGTGCACAATAGCAAATATTAAAAGGTTAAAAACAAGTGGTCTGAGACTTCATAGAACTTCAACATACATAGGGCTGCCAAATCCCCCGGGGGGGCAGAATTCCCCCCGCTTTGGAGCCCCGATTTCTGCCCCCGTGGAATCGGGGCCCGGGGGAAACCCCACCCCCGCATTCACGTCACTTCCCTGTGACGTCATCACGCTGGGACGGGGCACAGCCATTTGAGGTGAAAACTCTATGGATTCCCCTCAAATGGCTGTGCCCCGCCCCAGCGTGATGACGTCACAGGGAAGTGACGTTCATGCGGCGCGCGCTTTGCGCGCGCACGCACACCAGGAGACAACACAAAGTCCCCCGCCGGCACAGGTGAGTACATTTGGCAACCCTAAACATGAACTTGAAATAAGTTTCAGTCATTTTACATAGAATTGATGATTTCACATAAATAGTTGATGA